GCTGCGCGTGCGCGCTGCGGTGCTCGCGGCCAGCCCGCCGCTGGGTCTGTGACGTCGCGTGCGCCGTCTCTACCCGCCAGAGTCCGCTCCGCAAACGCGCGGACGCAGTGCCCATCACTTGAAGCTGAGTGATTAAGCGTCAAGCTCGCGGGCCGTCCTGTCGTTCCTCCGGGGGAACCTCTGCCCTGCTCCGTCTCGCTTCAGGGTCCTAGTCCGCACAGATCGGCACCCTGTAGCCCCCGAGCGCTCTTGCTGGGCACGTATGGTGAGCATCACGTTAAGAAAGTGGTGGCCCCGGGGCATGCAGAGGCCCTGGCGTCCAGAAAGTTTTGGCTCCGAAGGAAGATGGCTCATCCCAGCCTTTCCTCTTACTGGGATATGCTACTCCTAGAAACTTCGAAGGTGATTTCCCACCGTTCACAAAGCTGGCTGTGCAGACCTCTCATTGTTTTTGCCACCCTGGAATTTACTCTGTTGATGTGTTTAGATGGGTCAGAAACGTTTTTTTTTTAAATGTTGGGGTGCAGCTAAGTGAAATACACAGATCTGAAGTATACATCTGTATAATGCCTTCCCCCGGCCAAGATGCAGAACAATTCTGGTGTCCTGAGGGCCCCCTATGCCCTCTCCCAATAACTACCCACCTAAAAGGGCATCATTCAGATCAGAGACTCATAGATTTTTCTAACGCTAAACATCTTGCTAAGAGCCACTCACATCATTGATATCCAAATATGTGTTGAATCTTTCTGAGTGAGGAAACTAGGCAATAATCTACAATAGAATGGAGTCTCATTCATTTCACGAATGTCGGTTGAAGGCCGAAGGCCTCACATGTACCGAGAATTATACCAGGCACCAGGGATACTAGGATGAGTGAGCTTGCATTATAGATAGTAAAACATAGAATAAAACACCTAACTACATATTTAATGTTAGGTCAGATACTCACTATGGAGAGCAGTAAAGCAGGGCCCGTTAGTGGCATGGTGGTGAAGGCAGCTGGATCCCACATGGCTGATTATGCCTTGGAGTCCCAAACAAGCGACTTGAAAAACACGTAGGGTGAGTGTGTCCCAAATCCTGAGAGGAGAATGGAGCAGAAAGGAATGCACTGTAACCACCTCCACCCCCCACCCCCCAGGGTGCTTTCTCTCTCTTGCTCCAACAAGTGTGTGATCCCTATAGCAAATTAAAAAATAATAATAAAAAAAAAGTAAAGCAAAGTAAGGAATGAGAATAGGGGAGCTACTTAGAACAATGATCAGGGTAGACCTCTCCAAGGAGTTGTCCATTTCAGCAAGATCTAAATGAATGAGGGAGTGAGGCATGTAGATATCGAGATCAGATAAAGCCTTATTTTCCCTTTGCTTCATTTTCTAACGTATTATGAATTTATTTTGTCTGAGTTTTGCAAATCTCTTTAAGTACTTTTTAGAAGAGGGCAAAAGAAGGGGGGAAGAAAAAGATTTTGACTATGGGGAAAATCTCCAGATGATTGTGAAGAAAAACTCCCTGCCAAGCCAACTTCATTTCCTCTTTGGATAGGATTATTAGACTAGTAAATAAGAAGGATCCCCAAAATGTAAGTTAAGCGTGAATTAAATTTTTATTACGAAATCCTTTGTACTTACAAACCATATGTATCTGTTCAAGTGTATATATATCATATTTATAGGTTATAAGTAATAAAATATCCACACGTCCTGTGGCCCTGTGGTATATTGAGTCATTGGCCCCAATTCAGTACTCTTCCTTATCGTCATGCCACCAAAGGCAGGGTATACACGTCCTTATTCCTTAAATTTAAACTCAGGCGTGCAAGTTGCTTTGGCCAAAGGGGATTGATGGCAGAAATTATGCAGGCAGCGACCTAAAGTGTGTTTGTCCCGTGGGTATATCCTCTTAATACTCTGCAGCGCTATGAGATAAACAGTTAGCCAGCTGGTTCTGAAACTGTGAGAGACACCTGGGCTGTGGTCACCTGGCTGACCCAAAGATCTGCAGTTTAAAGCTGAGCTCCCGCCTGAGCCCAAAATAGCTGGACCCCAGTTTACCCCAAGATATATGAACAATAAATGCTTATATTGTGTCACTGAAATTTTGTGGGTGATTGTTACATAGCAAAAGCTGGCCAACATATACCTACTACTCAAGAAAACAAACATTTCCTTTGAAGTCCCCCTGTCCCTGTGTGTCCCTTACTGTCTCCCTCTTACTCCAAGCGATTCTTGTGGTGAATGACAGTAATAGATTTTCTGTTGTTTTGATCCTCCCTTCCTGGAATGAACAGAACTCTTTCATTTTATAAAATACAAAACCCAAAGATCAATTCAGTTTGATAATATTTTAGGAATTTTTACATCTATGTTCATTAATGAGACTTTCCTAAAATTTTCTTTTCATGTACCATTCTTGAAAAGTTTAAATTGTAGTATTACAGTAGCTTTATGAAATAAAGCTGACCGTGTCTCCATTCCCCACCCACACTTCCAATTTAAAATAGGAATTAACTGCCTCTTGAATGTTTCATAGTACTTAGCAGTAAAACTTTTCTGGACCTGTTGTTTTCTTGGCTCAGACAAAAATTTAAGCCACAATTAAGTAGATTCATTGCTGGTCAACTACATATTACTTAAAAAGTGTTAATAAACACATCAACTTTAGTTTGTCCAATCTGGTATTTTGGGTGAAAATGTAAAAGACAGTTTATTCCATATTAAGACAACAATTTTGGCTGGCAGGTGGTGTGGTGGTTAGGAGTACTGGACTCCCCCTTGGCCGACTGAAGTTCGAGTCCTAGACCCAGTGGCTTGCTGTGTCACTTTCTCTCACTCACTTGCTCTCTCACTCTGTCTTTCTCTGGTCAAATTAAAATAAATAAATAAATTTCAATAAAATAATTCATAAAAAATTAAAATTTGGTGGAGATCTATCATTTTATCTTTAAAGCAAAAAGAAAAACCATGAATTTGATTTATTATGATTAAAGCATTGTGAAGCTGATCAGCAGAAACTCTGCCTTCTAGTATTGGATTTATGCTCTCTCACTCTGTCTTTCTCTGGTCAAATTAAAATAAATAAATAAATTTCAATAAAATAATTCATAAAAAATTAAAATTTGGTGGAGATCTATCATTTTATCTTTAAAGCAAAAAGAAAAACCATGAATTTGATTTATTATGATTAAAGCATTGTGAAGCTGATCAGCAGAAACTCTGCCTTCTAGTATTGGATTTATGTTTATATTTGCCATAGGGCATGTGTGCTCAACAGAGAGATCCCTTCTCCAAAATCCTCTCGGGATCTTGGGCCTGTGCACACACGTGCCCTGTGTGATTTTCAAGCCACCATGATCAGCCATGAGGGAATCCAGCCACCTTAACCACCACCCCATCTGCTGGCCTCTGTTTCTGTTTCTTAATCATTGCCTTGGGAGCAATTTGTTCCTACAGGACTTGGAACTTTTCCTGACCACATGCTGTGTGGGAGGAGTGCTAGACGGTGCATGTTTTAGCTGCTACAGTGAATCCTGCTGTCGCAGTGAGAGGCAGTCTTTTGCTCTCTTTGATGCTATCCCTGCAGATGCGATGTGTAAACTCGTGAGCACTGTGCTTTCTGTAATGACCCGCAGACTATCCCGGGGGCGGGGGGAGGATTGGCCTGGATAATGACATATCTAGAGCAGGGTTTCTCAGCTTTGGCACTTTTGTCATTTGGGCCAGATGACCCTGTGCTGTGGGGGCTGCCCTGTGTAGTGTAGGATTCTTAGCACCATTCCTGGCCACTAATTGCCAGTATCATTGCCCCCTCATTTTAACAACCAAAAATGTTTCCAGACAGCTCCTCAGGAGACACATTTGCTTACAGTTGAGAACCACTGGTTACAGATCATGATTGTGTAAAAACGGCAAAGGCAGTAATGATTTGGGCCAGAGAAGTATCATGGTGAGAACATACCAATTAATGTTATAAACTCCAGGGCCACTAATTGCCAGTATCATTGCCCCCTCATTTTAACAACCAAAAATGTTTCCAGACAGCTCCTCAGGAGACACATTTGCTTACAGTTGAGAACCACTGGTTACAGATCATGATTGTGTAAAAACGGCAAAGGCAGTAATGATTTGGGCCAGAGAAGTATCATGGTGAGAACATACCAATTAATTTTATAAACTCCAGTTTAAGTGCCATCATGAGGGCTAGCAGGTGGTGTAGTGGTTAAGGTGCTGGGCTCCCACATCGCCACCCGGGTTCAAGTCCCAGACCTTGTCACTTGAAACTCACACCAGGCGTGTGTGCATGCATGCCCAAAATCCCTAGAGGAGAATGGAGAAGGGATGGGAGCATGGCCATCTCCCCTGGGGGGTGATTTTCCCCCTTTTCTCTCTTTCTCCATCTCTCTCTGTCTCTCTGGTGAGCACATGCACCCTATAGGAAAAATCTCTCTCAAAAAAAAAAAAAAAAAAAATAGTGCTATCATGGATTGGGGAGAAAAATCCAAGAGAGCAGAACTAAGTTGAAAATGACAAGGTGTGTGACATCTAGAAAAACAATTTTTTGGTAAAGAATGATTTATTTGCTGTTATTTATCATTATTATTATTATGTTAAATTTGCTATAGGGCATGGCATGTGCACTCACCAGAGAGATACAGACAGAGAAAGTGAGAAAGCAAGCTGCCAGGTCTGGGACTCGAACCACAGTCAGCCATGTGGGAGTCCAGTGCCTTAACCACTACACCACCTACTGGCTCTGAAAATCCTGTATTTATTTATTTATTTAATTTTTTTTGCTTCTCAGTTATTTCAGCAAAAGAATGAGTTGCTTACACAGCACTGAGTTCCCTGACACTAGCTATATTCAAGCAGAGGCTGACAGGCCACTTGCTGAGATGTTAGAGAAGTCATTTCTAAATAGAAAA